GAGATAGTTTTTTTTTTATATTCCGACTACCACGAAGGCCTAAACACCCATGGGGAACGTGGGGATACAGGGGAAAGGGGGAACGCCACTCGGACTCTGGCGAGGGAACACGTGTGCATGCAACATGTACACATTCTGGCTCCGCCTACGAGATCGGCCGGGTGGTACCTCCGCGTTCGACAGTCAGAGATCGTCTACCACCTACGGACAATCACAACATCCATAGCCAAGAGAAAAATTTCTCTTCGGACGGGATTCGAACCCGCACAGCGCACGGCGACTGATCAGGAGACAGAAGAGTCTACTACTGCGGCCACCGCTGCTGCCTAGTTAGTGACACCAAGATGAATGAGAACGACAGTCACTGTCGCATCTGTATGTCTGACATCTGAGCCAGAGACAGGTATACAGGGCAATTGAGAAAACGGTGGCAACGTTCTTACGGCAGAAAATAGGTCCAAAAATAACGCACAATGCTTAGTCCTAAAATACTCCCTAAATATACGCATGCAGACCAATACACATAATCATCCAGATGCGATTTTGTCAATGATGAAAACTACAGACTACTCGGCTTCACAAATCATATGCAACCAACAATGCGTGTAGTTGAGCCATTCCTCCATAGATGGACGCTCACAACGATCCTAGTGAGCAAACGTGGAATGACAGTTTGCATGGTGACATTTTATAGGCTTTTTTTGACGTTTTATATGTTTTTTACATAATACCCGTGCCGGTAACTGACGTTTTTGAAACATCCATTCCATTTTTTAATAAAACATTCAGTACTCTTATTTAATCATTTAAATCGCACGGTAACCTCAAATGTTGATTCTGTGTGCAGCATATTGGGAGGGTGATTCCATCTCACCAGACCCCATCTCTTGATAGTCGGAAATTTTAGCAGCTATGCTTATAGAACCTTTTTATGCTATGGAAATATTGCCATTGTTTTTTAATTACCCTGATTTTCACTTTACAAGTCTACCCGTCCTTAGTTGTCCCTTATACATATAAAGGGTGTTTTTTTTCGAGGTATAAAACTTAAAGTTGGCATTACTTTTGAAGATGGCGACCGATTTGACAGCTGTCAAGTGATTTATTCTCAGTTTGGTTTGGCAATTCATCATGAATAGACTCACGTCTGAACAACGCTTGCAAATTGTGCTGTTTTATTTCGAAAATAATGGTTGTGTGCGGAATACGTATCCCGCAGTACGTCCATCTTATCGTCGACAAAATCGTCCATCAGAGCAGTTAATTCGATTAACCATGGAACTTTTTCGCACCACGTTTACTCTAATTGATAACTCGCATCCCCAGAGACGCCGTACGGGGCGTAGCATTGAGGACGACCCGAATAAGTCCATCCGCCATCGAGCACAGGAATTGGATTTGTGTCCATCCACTTTATGGAAGATTTTGCGGAAGGATCTCGGTTTGCGTGCTTACAAAATCCAACGCGTGCAAGAATTGAAGCCAAACGATCATCAAGCATGGCGTAGATTCGTTGAATGGGCCCAAAACGAGATTGCCGTTGTTCCCGATTCTCATAAGCGGATTTTGTTTAGCGATGAAGCGCACTTCTGGTTGAATGGCTACGTCAACAAACGAAACTGCCGCATTTGGAGTGAAGCTAATCCTCAAGTCTATGTCGTTACATCCAGAAAAACCGACTGTTTGGGGCGCTTTATGGGCTGGTGGAATCATTGCTCCGTACGATGACGACCAGAACGTTACAACCAATGGTGATCGGTATAGAGCCATGATTACTAACTTTTTCATTCCTGCATTGAACAATCATGATGTCCAGGAGCTGTGGTTCCAACAAGACGGCGCAACATGCCACACAGCTCGTGCTACAATCGATTTATTGAAAGACACGTTTGGTGACCGCCTGATTTGACGTTTTGGACCTGTGAATTGGCCTCCAAGATCTTGTGATTTAACACCGCTAGACTATTTTCTGTGAGGCTATGTAAAGTCATTGATCTATGAGGATAAGCCGCAAACGCTTGACCATTTGGAAGACAACATTCGCCATGTTATTGCCGATATACGGCCACAAATGTTGGAAAAAGTCATCGAAAATTGGTCGTTCAGATTGGACTACATCCGAGCCAGCCGTGACAGTCATATGCCAGAAATCATATTTAAAATATAATGCCACAAGATTATCTTTCGAATAAAAAAAATACACGTCAATCGAATAATCCATCGTTGTTTTATTGCAATTTAAGGTTCTATACCTCCAAAAAAAACACCCGTTAGTTCTGTTATACTTTCAAAAGGAGTCATATTATAAACTAATCAGACAGAAAGTATTGATATGCTTATTGAACGTTTTGGTTTTTTGTGCACATTTTTAGGACGATATTAGATATATTTTAACTTACGTATACGCCGATATTTGTGATGGATTTTACATAATTTTGTAAAAATGCTTGAACTGTTTATATACTAAGTGACATATAAATCCGAACACCCAGTTTAAATGGTTTTATTTTAATAAAATTTTGTATAAGTACTTAATGAAGCATAATAAGTAAATGATAAAAATTTCAAAATGATTGCACTGCTTTAAAGCCCTTTGACCTTTAATAATGTGTGGATGCACCCTGATGTGCTACGCATTCTCCAACGCGCCTAGGCATGCGTCTGATCAGGTGGTCAATGTCCTCCTGTGGTATCTCATTCCAGGCAGCGACCAACTCCTCTCGAAGTGCTTCTAGAGTCTGAGGAGGACGTTGCAAATTGAGCAATCTCCTACCCATCATATCCCACACGTGCTCAATTGGGGAGAAGTCGGGAGATCTTGGTGGCCATGGTAACAATGTGACATCATTATGTTGAAAGAGGTCTATTGTGACTCTTGCAACATGTGGTCGGGCATTATCTTGTTGGAAAGTTGGATCTGCCAGGGTGTCAAGATAGGGTAAAAGATGGGGTTCTAGAACTTCGTGGATATAACGCTGCGCGTTCATGTTACCTCTGATGAAGATTAAAGGTGACCTGGAACCATAAGCTATAGCACCCCAAATCATAACTCCAACAGTGTGATGAACATGTCTTTCAACAAAAAACTGTGGATTCCTCCTTTCACCACGTCGCCTTCTAACCCTGGCACGATCATCGTGCATGCCTAAACAAAATCGAGACTCGTCACTAAAGACAATACTGTTCCATTCCTGATCCCAGAGTGACCGTTGTCTGCACCACTCAAGGCGATTACGTCGGTGTTCTCGAGTTAAAGGGAGGACCCAGTGTAGCCGGTATGAAAACAAGCCAAAACTTCTCACTCGTCGGTAAACACTTCGCATGCCGAGTTCTGCAAACCATTCATTTGCAATGGACCTGGCGAAACGGTCCCTTAAGGCCAATAATCTTAGGCGGCGATCTTCACGGTCTGTTGTTCTACGGCGGCGTCCAGTGCCCCTTGCTCTTTGCGTACGGCCTTCTCGAAGCCTTCCCTGACAACACCTAACCACAGTGTCTACACTTATTTGCACTCTAACTGCAATTGCCCGAAAAGAAAGTCCAGCTTCCCGAAGTCCCACTATACAGCCCCTATCAAAATCACTAAGTTGGCGAAATCGTACAGGTCTCCGTACTCTAGGCATCGTAACCGATCGTAAAGGATGTCAAGAACCAAAATCCGCCAACGTTGATTCTTTACTGCGGCTGAAATATTCATTTTTAGAGCGTTAGTGAATTAAAAAAAAGCAGTATAAAAACCGGAATGTCCAACTGATAAGGCTGACAATTTTTTCACTTGTTATTGACAGTAAGATAAATACATTCACGAACTTTTATTAAAATAAAACCATTTAAACTGTTCGGATTTATATGTCACTTAGTATATCATTATTTAAAATACCGAATTTGATGTCTCGTAACGCTTTCAATCTAACATAATGGACAATCCGAAAATATATTTGCATGAGCTTGTCAGTCTTTTACGCGTCACGAAGCACGTTCGCCAATATGATGAGTAAGGGTACGAACATAGTGGAGCGACGAGGTTTCAGATTCAGATAGAGGCTAACCGCGCGGTTTGCCGCTATGTGAGTCAAAAACACAGGTTGAAACCTGTCGGGCCATAGTAGCGCGATAAGGCATGCGTCGAGTCTCTAGGAGGTTTCGAGCGACGAGTTTTAAATAGTTGCATTCAATTTTTGTCACGCGTTTTCAAGCGATTTAATAATGGATGTTGTGCAATTAATAAATAGTGTATATCACAGAAGGGCTATATGGGATCAGAGTCATCCAGATCATCGCAACCGATACGTGCTAGATAAGTTATGGGAGGAGGTAGCCAATGAATGCAATAATCAGTCGGGTAAGTAAATAATTGTATTTTATACACATTTCAACAGCTAGAACTTACATCTTGCGGTAAAATTTTAAGCTGTCTCGTAACTGATTGGAAAGAAATTAACATAGTTACAGAAAATGTCGCGAACTCTTTGACCTTCACCCAGTTGCCTTCCTCTAGGTAATTCAAACATCTGATCTCTAGGAACTGCATCAGTTACTAATGTTAAATGTCGTTGAAATCCCTCTCGGTCCAGTATTGTATTATGCAAAATGCATATCGCCTTAATGATATCATCCGCAGTCTTTTCAGTAGTCTCTATAGCTTTGGACAGAAGACGCCACTTCGCGTACATAATTCCAAAGGTGCACTCGATAGTTTTGCGTGCTCTGGACAATCTTTGGTTAAAATTTATATGTTCCAAAGAGCGGTTCCTTCGATTGTATGGTTTTAGCAAATTGGGCATTAGTGGATACGCTTCATCTGCAATAAATACGTAGGGAGCGCGGACATTTGTTCCTGGTAAACTATCTGGATTTGGCACATTTAGTTTGTTTTGGTGTATCCGTTTGTACAAATTGGAACTCTGAAACGTTCCCCCATCGCTCTGTTTGCCGTAACCTCCGACATCTATCACAAGCAATTTGTAATTTGCGTCGCAAACTCCTTGTAGGACGATAGAAAAATAATGCTTATAATTGAAGTACATGGATCCGGAATGTTGTGGTGCTATAACTTTGACGTGTTTGCCGTCAACAGCTCCGATGCAATTGGGGAAGTTCCATACTTTCATGAAGTCTGCACTTACATTTAAAAATGTTGCCGTAGTAGGTTCTGGCATGTGAAGTGGTTGCAGCATGTTCCATAATATTTTAATCATATGTTTTATAATGCTCGCAACAGTACTCCTGCCCATTCGAAAGGAAAATGCCAAGTGTCTAAAGGACGCTCCTGTTGCAAGATATCTGAAAATTTTTGTTTGTTGCAGTTAAGAAAGTTTCTGAGAAGTGGAAAAATCTACGTGATTATTTCAGAAAAGAACTGAAGAAAATACCTCTGCCCCGGTCTGGTGATCCAGGCGAAGAGGCTCTTAAAAAGAGCTCCTGGCCTCATTTCAAAAGTTTATTGTTTCTGAGAGACCAGTTTCTGCCGAGATCCAGTCATAGCAACCTGTTGGATCCCGACAATGACACACAAGTTTCGACACCCTCTACGCAGATGGATGAAAATGATGGTGACTATGACGAAGACGAAATGGACGAAACGCAGGGTGTAGAAACGCAGGAAACAGAACCCGACCACACAGAATCAGTCACTCCAATTCAAAGCACACCAAAAGAACCACGAACTATTCTAAAGAATAGGGCCCGAAAACGGTCAAATCAACTTGACGCTTTTCTTGAGATAGAGAAGAAAAAACTACAATATTTAGATGAGAAACGTGTCGCTGCAGACCGTGGCAGAGCCCTACCAGTCACAGATGACGATAAACTGTTTTTTGATAGCCTTTTGCCCCACGTGGTGAAAATTAGGCCTCATCGAAAACTTCAGTTCCGCAATGAAATTCAAAATTTGGTTCAGAAGTATGCCTATGAAGAGTACTCGAACAATCAGTCCACCATCAATGTCAGTCATTCTGTTAATCATAGCCCGACATATACATCTCAACCACAAACATCGTTTGCACATTCATCCCATTTGTTGCAGGGGTTTAATTACGCAGATCAGTAAACATTATAAGTTATTATAAGTTATCGTTCGTTGTGTTCAGAAGACAGAATATTATTTTGCGTTACCGTTTGTTTGTTTATGAATAATAAAAGTATTATCCTTAATACATAATATTCTCTTACCGAATTGTTACCACCAACATTTCTTCGGTTCCTATAGGCGCTTGATTAAAATTTGTCCATTTCTTGTTGATGCAGGGTGTAACTTGTTCTAATATATACTGAAAGGTGGCAAGTTCCATTCGAATGTAGTCAAATAGCCTGTCGGGATAATTTTTCAGTTCTAGAAATAAATGATGGAATTCCCCTAGGCGTTTCCGACTTTTATTTACGTCGTGCACACTACACTGCCGCACTCCAGTCATTAAAAGCACTTGCAGGTAAGTATTATTGAGAAGAATGTCATCGTCACTGTCGGAATACATATTTTTACGTCTATCTTCGACAAAACGCGACGCTCTACTATAACCATAGGTGCCTCTTGCCTCTACGCTCTAGACGCTACCAGATATCTGAATCTGAAACCTCGTCGCTCCACTATGTTCGTACCGTAATACACTTCTGCTGATTTCTAGTGTTTGTTTTTAAAGGTAAACAACAAGAAACTGTAAAGCACTGAACCATCTGTTTCCAAGGTATGGCGGGGTGGGTCTACGAGATTAATCTTTTTTCAAGACCTATTGCGAGATCAAACTTTTCATCCTTAATATTTACCAAAGAGGTTAACAAATTGTATAAGTATGAGATATTCCTATCATATACAGGGTGTCCCAGTATTCCGTGGACATAGAAGAGCTACGTATTTTTAGACTGAAAATAAGTGGATTGGTGATTGTTCGGGAAGGATGAAAACTACCTCCACCCCTACAGAATTTTTTCGCAACTCTCCCAACGACTGATTTTTTTTCATTGAAAATATCGTTTTATTTACTCCATTTTTCAGGTATACGAGGTTTAGATAGTCAACGCGTTGACGTTGTAGGATGAAGAAGAGGACCCATCAATTACGACGGATATACTGCGGCCAGAGAGAAAAACATATATTTTTTTATTTTAACAAAACGCGTTTTTTTTGTTTTAAACTTTTTTTTTGTTTTAAACATTTTGTTTTTAGATTTTTTAGTTTTAAACAAATAAAAAATAAAAATCATTGTTTAAATCATATTTTTTCATATTTTAATAAATAAATAATATTTATGTTAAAAAGTTTGTATAATGTATTTGAGAACATTTCCTATTTTTATTTATTATATTAATGAAGAAAATGAAGAAAAAAACGCTTCTTCAAATTAAGTGTTTTAAACATGTTTTAAACTGTTTCAAACAAAAACTGTTTTAAACCTAAACGAATATTTAAAACAATTGATTAAAACAAAATGTTTAAAACGAAACAACCCTGCTAGGAGGTCATAGGATGGAAGTTTGCATATGAGAGCAGCGTGCCACAGCTGATCGAACGCTTTCGTGAAATCAAGGACAACGACATGAACCTCGCCATATGACTGGATGAGCTTACTCCACAATTGGGTCTTAAGCTAGGAGGTCCCCTGTGGATCGCCGGTGCCGGAAACTATACTGCCCGTCGCTAATCAAGCGGCGGCACTCCAGATGCTCCCGATTTATGTACATCTCCATTAACTTACGAGTATAACAGAAAGCAGAGCTATTGGCATGTAGTTGTAATACTAAAAGCATTGAGAAAAAAGAAATACTTATACTACTATGATATGTGCAGGAGGTAATATTTTAAATTACATTTAAATTTATTTAGTGACATGACTTAAAATTATACAAAGATACTGCATCAAACGTGAAAGACCTAGTGAATAATATGATGTTATTTTGGGGCATGGTAAACAAAATAATGTGGAAACCTTATGATTCTGGTATTAGCTTTTTGTATAAGTATAAGGTTTTTCAGTCAATTTTATTTTATGTACTGCAGTGAGTTTAAAAATAAATTGTTCAGCCGACGCATATTATTAATGTGCTCTGAGGTATGATCATATCTAAACTGAATCCAAATTCAAGATGAGATGTAAATAATAACAGTTGGCGCGTGATCTCTCGGTAACAGGTGGGGACAATTCGCCATTAAATTTCAAGCGGTTGCCTGGCAGAATAATGCGCGGGGCAGGGCAGGCAGACCACCGATCGTCGCGTGTATCACTGCGTGCTCGTGTTTTCGTATTCACCTTGCTTGGTTGTTGCTGTTGTTGTTGTTAAATGTATTTGAGTAATTTGTTAAGTTTCTGTTTGTTATTGTTATTCCTCGTTATTATTTGTTTTGAACCAATCCTGAACATGCCCAGTACAGATACTGCTGACGATTTTGTAGGCTACTCCCTTAGCCCTCCTAGAAAGCGATAAAAAAGACATCTTAACATAGACATGAAAGACGTCATATTGAATACATTCAAGATAGAGCGGAAGGAAGACGAAACATCAACTAACCCGGAAATAGCTCTGAAAGTGGCAGATAAAATTGGGGTATGCCAAGCGACAGTGTACAATGTTTTGAACGAACATAAGAAAAAGCGTGCCTTTTCCAAGCCAATGACGGGTAAAAATCGCAAAAGTATCATAAGATCGTTGGGTGACGCTGACAAGCATGCGATTCGGAGGAAAGTGCACGAGTTCTTCTTCAGAAACGAAATACCGACAATTGATAAAGTACTATGGGATGTTAACGAGGATGCTATGTTACCACATTTCAAACGTTCGACTATTCATAAACTTGTGAAGCATCTTAATTTCGAATGGAAGAAACGAGGTCGTAATAGCTTACTTATGGATAGAGAAGAAATTGTTCTGTGGAGGAGAGAGTACCTGACCAAAATTAAATCATTCAGGGATCAGCACAGGAAGATCTATTACCTGGACGAAACCTGGATTAACGCTGGGCACACTACTCCGAAGGTATGGGTTGACAAAACTGTGACTTCATCCAGAAGGGCATTTCTAGATGGACTGTCGACCGGATTGAAAAATCCAGCAGGTAAATAGATCGAAGTAGTTCACGGTATCAATTTTTGCGCGCAATATCTCTCTATCTTCGTACCTACAAGACGTGCATGTGTACTTAGCGGATTTTATCTTTCTAGGCAAAGGAAAAAGGCTCATTATTTGCCACATTGGGGGTGTAGATGGCTTCGTGGATGACGGCTTATGGTCTTTTGAGTCAAAAACACTGACTACCATGAAGAGATCAATGGGGAAGCATTCGAGAAGTCGTTTTCAGGCATTTTACCACGTCTCGAAGACAATTCTGTGGTTGTTTTGGATAATGCTCCCTATCATTCTCGCAAAATAGAAAAAATCCCAAATTCAGCTTCTAGGAAATCAGACATTCAGAGCTGGCTCCGTTCGAAAAACATAACTTTCGACCCTTCCTTACTGAAATTACAACTAATAGATATTGTAAAACAACACAGACCAAGACATGATAATATATCATAGATGAAATGGCCAAAGCACACCACAAAACAGTACTCCGTTTGCCGCCTTACCACTGTGAGCTCAACCCCATTGAGCTCATATGGGCAGATGTTAAGAAGTTTGTTGCTGCACACAATACAACATTTAAATTTTCTGACATGCAAGAGCTGTTCGGACTTGCTACACAGAGGGTCACACCAGAAAGATGGCTGAAATGTGTGCAGCATGTTCAGGAGAAAGTGGAGGTAGCAATGTGGGAGCTGGACAACATAATTGAGAGAGATTTTGAATCCATCATCATAAACATTAATGACGATAGCTCTTCAAGTGAGTCTGAGTAAGTTTCGCGTTTTTGTTTTGTCACATATTATGGGAATCGTAGTTATAGTGAAATATTAACTTACAGATAAACTACAGACAATGCAAGTCCGAAGTGCACCTTCAAAATGTATTTCTCCATGATGTCTAGTTTGAAAAATCTGTAGAAAAACTTAGCACTCCTTCAAGAATAAAAATTTGATTTTGCGACTCCCTTAACTGTAACTACTTCAATATATTAGATAATTTCGTTAAATACTGTCATCTTTGTTTTACAACACGTTGGTGGTAGTCCATCATTCGTAGGTAGCCCTGAATGCGGCCCTGTACGCCGTCCTTGCTTTTGGCAATCACGCATCCATTCTATCTTGAGTGTAAATACACTATAGTTGAATTATTCACAACGCGACAACAGTAATTTTGGACATTCTGCAAGCGTTTAGCAGTGTTTTGATCTAGACAAGGATAATATGATGATA